CCCTTCATGCCTGCCTATATCGCCCTGCACTTGCAGAAACAGTTCTGCCAGACAGTGCAGGGCAACCTTGTCTGGGAGTCACTGTTTCTGGGCTCTAGTGCCACTGCTGTCCTCCTACTCTGGAGAGCTGGGGATGAGGAGCCATGTTTCGCATGGGCAGAGTCTTTATGCCTGTGGGTACTTACCATTGCAGGGTAAGGCACAGACCTGTTCTGTAGTTAAGTTTAGTGGCTGAAACCTCTACTTTTCTCTGGTTGGCTTTGTTTACTCAGCAGAAGACCTTAAAACAGCTTTCCTGCTGCTGCAGGGATCTCCGAGAGTGGTGATGCCATGGGCAGTGTGCAAGCAGGGAACGCTGGGGCTCATGCACAAAGCTGTCTTGAGTAATCTTCTCTCTTGTCCAAAAGAGACAATGCTGTACTCCCTCTTCCTGCGTGCATGATGCGCCCTAATGGCAAGAGCTAGGCCACCCTTTCACATCTCTACCCTCCTACACAAGTGAGCAGCTCCCAGAATGGGTGCAGGGGGTTTGGAGAGGCTTCTGTGATTTTTATAAGAATGCTGTACATAGGCGGTGGCATTTTTCTTTTTTCTCTGTACTGGTGACATGTCATCTTTGCTTCAGTGGCTGATTTCTGGATACCATGCTTTAAAATAGAGATGTAGACAAATTGGCAAAAGGCCAGAGGAGAGCAGCACTAATTGTCAGAGCTTTAGAAAACATGACCTCTGAGGAAAAATTGAAGAAATCAGGTGCATTTAATCTAGCCAAGACAGTATTGGTGGGGGAGGGAGAGGGATGTAATGGTTTCTCAGTACATAAAAGCTGTTGTTAAGGAAGAATAATGGATTTATTCTTTCACTATCATTGAGGGGAAATGATGAGACAAAACTACATTTACACTGCAGTTTATTAGGGATATTTAGGAAAAGCTTTCAGTGCAGTGAAATGCAGGAAGAGATTGTCCAGGGGAGCTGTGGGATTTGTGACACTGGTGGTTTAAAGAAACTCTGGTCTACTTCCATGAAAGATATGGCCTGTGCAACTTCCCAAGTTGCCTGTTAGTGCCTTTGTTCCTGAAGTCTATGCTGAAGGGAAAGTTTGAGGCTGATGCCTGACCCTTACCAATCACAAGCCTTGGCTCTGCCAGCATTGCCAAGTTCACATGGTCAGAAATGCATGAACCAAACTCCTGAAAGCGTTGGCTGTAATTCTTAAAAATGGTGTGATTTCGGTGGATGATAACATAAAGTAAGCTCTGTTTATCTGCCCACTGGTTTTGTGTCTCTCTGGCAATGTCTGTATTGCAGTTGGAGATTTGATGGCAGAGAAATCCAAGCTTGCTCTAGTCTAACTTTCTTGGGTAGGAGTGAAGAGAGAGCAACTTGGACCTTAGTACAGGGAAGTTGTCCAAGCAAGTATCCACTTTCTGGAGACCTGTTACACTGAATTTTGTGGTCTTGTCTTCACATGTCTCTGCAGCTGAGGTACCAGGCTGAGATCTGGAAGAGATGTCCTGATCCAGGCTGCCATCACAGCAGCAGGTAGACACAGGCTTAGAAACACGACCCTTCCTTTGCAGTCATGCCACAGGAATTACTTCTGTAGCAACATGACTCTAGGTTCTGGAGCTTTTAAGCATTATAAAATAAAATGTGAAAGTAATAACTGATTGCTGGGAAAACATTGCGGATTAGCACAACTTGTTCTCTACCTTGACTGTTTTCATATTTGACAAGTATCACTTGCAAAAAAAGGGCAGGTTTTATTATAACTCTTTTGTCTGCTTCCCTTCCAACTTCCCGAGTGCATTTTTTCACAGGCACCAAACTACTTTCAAGAGAAAATGTTGGTGATTTCTCCAGTGGTGGTGAGAAACGGAGACGTACGAGGGTGCTGTTCACTGATGAAAGTGGCAGAATTTCTCACACTCCTTTACTCGTGATCTTGCCTACAAAACTTTTCTAGGCATAAGCTTTTCCTTTAAGGAGAGAAGGTCTAGTTTTTTGCACCCATTGGCAAGGTACAGATAAAAGCATGGACCTTTAATTCAGGTTTGCTTCACTTGCCTTGTCTCAGATCCACAAATACAGAGTTCTGCCTCCTTGGACAAATTTGCAGATGACGTTATCCTGTATTTTAAATACCCTACTTTTGTATCCCTCTTGCCTGAAGCTATTAACATTGGCAGAATTCATGTCCTTTGTTTATTTTGTGTACTACTTACAGCCAGAACGTTGGACACCAGCTGGTCTAGTTTTCTGTTGGGCTGCAGTAAGAGGTAGAACATGCTTTTCTTGTTGGCTGTGTACATGCTGAGAGCCAGTCTTCAAAAGAGGCATGGAGAGGGCGAAATGGCTCCCCTGTGGTCAAGCTATAAGAGCAGGTCCAGCAAAGGCAGGACTTTGCATACCTTCATCTTTGGAGTGTTTGTATGACAATCACATGCTTCTCCCTGTGGGTTGATGGGTACACACCACAGGGGTTACAACTGGGCAGTGGGGCCTCCCACTTGCCATGATAGGTGGGGTGTAGAGGTCTTGGCAGTGCACAGAGTGGCCAAGAGGAACGTTGCTGACTGTGCACAGGAGCTGGGTGCAGCTGAGCCTAGGCTGGCAGGGAGCAGCGTGGCTGATCTCCGCTCTGGCATTCGTCTTGGAGCTGGGAGTCAGGAGGTCTGGATCTTATCCATGGCTCTGACACTGAGTCACTGCATGACCTCAGGCGCTCAGATACCATGGTGATGAACACAGCACAAATGTCTAGACAGATAGATTAGATTGGATAGACTCTGTATTTGACAAATATTTGTATATCACCACTGTCAGTGCTCCCCTGCTATAACCACCCAGCCTGGAGGTTTCAGTGGGTCTCCTACACAGCAGGGGTGGGGAAGAACCACTTTTGGCACTGAGGAAGGAGGGGGCATACAACCACAGTGACACAAGTATCAGCAATAACAGACTGGAAGCAAAGCAGGCAATAGGACAACTCTTGGAGGAAATAACACTGCATGACAGAAAGGCTCAGGAGTCAGGAGCCAGCTCCTCCCCAGCTCTGCCACAGCCCTGCTCATGGCCTCCTCTTCCCTCCTGTAACAAATCAATCTGTAAGATCTTCAGGGCAGTGGTGATTTCCTCCTCCTTCTATGGCTTCTATCGAAAGGCCTTGATTTCAAAAAAAAAATAGACAAACTACCAAAGTGAGACTTCCTTAAAAGCTTTCCTGTGCCACTGTCAACCTCTGGCACAAGGGAGGATGCAGGAGAATTGGCTCTCCCCAGAGTGGCTCTTGGTTATTTTCCCACCTGGTTGTAGCAGTACAGCAAAGATGTGGCTAGGAGTGTGCCCGTGTAGGTATTTTCAGAGGTTCTGCAAGGTCTCCTGAGCACTCTGCCTCTGGCACCCCTGACAGTGAGCCAGGAATGCTGCAGAAGAGCACTGCCTCTTTAAGGAGATTTGCATAGCAGGGCCTAATTACAGTTGTTGATTCTGATGTTTCCAGTGTCGTTCATATTCCATTAAAGGATAATGCAGCTTAATTTGCAGCAGAGGGTCTTGGTTAACAGTACACCCAATCACAAGGCAGCCCTAATGACACTACTTCCCTACTTCTGGTAACACATAATTAAAAAATCACTTCATTTCCAGTTGTGTGGTTCTCCCCTCTCCCCCAATCTTCTAATTACTTTCTAAGCCATTTCATGGTTATCTGTAAATATTTCAGTGCTTAGATCTACTAATGAGTCCATGCAAGAGTTAATACCTTGAGTGGCGTAACTGCTTGCCGTTCCCTTTCCAGTACCGCGTTGCAAGGAATCATCTTCCACCTTGCACGTGCAAGAAGAGGAACTTTGCTTGTGGTGGGATTGGGTTTGTGCTCTGGCTTTGAGGCTGTGGGGATGACAGGAGAGGGGTAGCACTCAGAAAATCTCAAACTACAAAAGTTTTTTTTTACTGGGTTTGGTAGTGGTTGTGTATCTCTCTGCAAATTGTTTTATGTGGCTTAAACCCCACTGAAAGGACTGTCCTGTTGCGTGGCTGTGGGAACTGCTACTCAGAGGGGCTTAGGTAGAACTGGGTATGAGCCTGGCTTTAGCTGGAATGCCCACACATCTGGAAGAATTAGCTGAAATGGCTGGTTTCTGCCCTGACTCTACAGGTCTGTGGGAAGCAGTAATACAGCTCTTGCTCACTTGGGCAAGGGAGGGCAATAGGTCTGGCTGTGACTGTCCTTGTGTGGTGTTCCTTCACAAGCTCATCTTGCATGCTGCAGCCAGTGGCACTCACTGTGACTTGAGTGTAGTGTGGTCACTGAGTAAGGGAATATCTGAATTTTCCAGCAAACCTGTGCACAGATGTCTACCATGGCTCTGTGGCTGCGGGCAAGAGGATGTGGGGTGACATGTGCCCTGATGCCCATGGTAAATGGGGAATCTGTTCTCTAATCCAAGCACTGCTCTGTTCTGAAAAGCCGCTGTACAAATGTTATTTTCTCGCTTGATAGATCTTGTCTCTGTGCTTGTCTGGTATCTTGAGTATTAAAATTCACTTGAGGTTTTCAGACTGAGCTGATAGAGTGATGGAGGAATGAGCTGGAGTATCTTTCCTGCCTATGTGTTGTACGGGCTTGATTGCTATGTTCTTCGTATGGTCAATCAGTAACACCTTATGCGAGCCCACTGGGAGCCTACCGATGGTCTCTGAAGGCATTATTTGGAATAACCAGAGATAATTGTATAACTAGGGGGTAATTAACTTCCAGGAATTAAAGAATCAAGCTTATGCTGCGCTACTCCTAGGGGTGAGTCTCTAAGGCTAGGAGTTAGAGAAATCTACTCTTCTCTAATAATTTGAGCACATGTGACTTGGAAATCCTTGATACTTGGCAAATGTGAGGCTGCTTCAAACCATATCCATGAATTTCTAGGCAATTCTTTAATAGCAGATAAGGGATGAAGGCTTGAGTATGATCCTAACCCAGTCCATTTGTATTTCAGGTAACCCTGTCACAGTGGGAATGAGCATCCATATCTCCAGCATTGACCAGATCTCTGAAGTCAATATGGTAAGTTGGGAGGAAAAAAAAAAAAGCCTAATAAACTGTTCTTGCATTTTCTGGTTGAGATGTGCTTCCAAGACAATGAATCCTTGGAGCCACTCTGCTGGGTGGTACTGGTGATGTGGTTGGACATGCTGAAAGACTGTAGCTCACTTCCTAATGTGGGGTAAATTCTAGTAGGGTTAGTAAATGTCTATACTGACACACTGAAGTATCCCTGGTGTTATCTGTGAACATGCGGACAGAGGATCTCTGCTAACATTTCTGGAGCTAGTGACATCTTATCCAGAGTAGATTCTCATCTCTTATCCTTCTGTGCTGGTTGCACAGCCACCTCTCCAAGCCATTAATGATTATGCCTTAAAAGAGTAAATGTGAGTTGTATTTTTCAGTTGACACAAAGGCAGTGGTGGCTTTGCACTCAGCCTGTGCTTGCCAGGTTGAAAAACAGTCAGTGGCTTTTAATGTTTTCTGGTGGTAATTTGACATTTCTTCAGAGATCTGTACTAGAAAAGGAGGCATCTAATGCAGTTCTGGTTTTGGGTGGCATTGACAGACTGGAGTTTTTCATACCACTGAGAAGAAAATATTTATCTGCTCAGATAGGAATGGTTTGAGGTGATACACATCCAGGCCTGTGCTATCTCTCTCAGAAGCTCTTAGCACCCAGCAGAGGACAACTGCGCTGACCTTGCCTAACCTTGCCTTCCTTCCTCCTACCCAGAGGCTCTTTCTCCAAACTTGTCTCCTTTTCCAGAGGCTGAGTGGAGTGGAAGGCTGGTGGGGACCTCCTGACAGGAACTGTCATGTTTCTTGGTTCCTGACCTGTGCCGGAAAATCCTAGGCCAAATTAGAGCTCTTGCTATTCGAGCCAATTAAAACCTTGGTCTCCCAATGCTCCTGTCCTATTTATCTGTTTCTGGACTCTCCTGCCCTGTTTCTCTGGTCCACCAGCTCTTTTGCTGTTGCATGGAGGGGAGGAGGAGAAGCAAAACAATCTGACTAGTCATTTTGTTTTCCAAACTGCTTGAAAAACCTGTATGCGCATGTCAATACAACCCAGGGTGAAGAGCCAACCATGAAGCTTCAGGTTCTCATATGGAACACTTTCTCTTGCAGACTCTCTGCTATCATCCCACCATTACTGTAATTATCTGCATGGCATGTTACACCTCAGTCCAGTAACAGTGACACTGGACAGTGCGTAAAAGCAGAAATTCAGGTACACACCTATGTCTTCATTGCACTGGGTAGCTGCGCTTGAGGTTAGGCTCCATTGAGAAGATCCAGATGGCTTAACCTAGCTCTGTCTGTCTTGCCTGAGCTCAACTTTGAGTCATCTCCTCCCTGGTCTCAATTTGGACCTGAATTTTCATATGTGGTGAACGAGCTGCCACCTTCCTTGCTAGATCCAGCATGAATAATTTGGGCTCTGGGCCTGAAGCTTAAGACCTCAACTTGCACAAATGTAACTGGGAGGGAGTGAGGGATTTGGTTCTCAGCTTACCAGTAACAACTTCCCTCATCTTCCTCTGTAGACCTGAGAAGATAGCTGACACTGCAGAGGCCGGTTCAGGATGAACCTCCTGCTGGAGATGTGCCTATAGTCTATAATGGCTGATCAAGTGCTTTGTCATACACCTGTCATGAGCAGCTGTGGGTAGGCATACTGTGTCTTGGGCTAGTAGCCATTCTCTTATGTGATGCTCTCCCCTCTTCAGTGAACATCTGCTTCTCTCTCCTGCAGGATGACTGGGACAAATGTATGTGCTCGGGGCTGGGGAGAAACAGCAACAATGGTATCTCTGTGGGGTTTTGGGAGAGCAGGTTTCATGACATGGACCTTCATTCAGGTGCTGCTCTGGATCTTGCAGAATTTGGGCAGCACAATTGATGGACATTGAGTGTTTTGATGGTTGTGATGTGGCTGTAATCAGGCTGGCCACTCAGTGCTGCCCATGCCATGCTCCTGTTGATATTGTGAAAGCATGTCCCTTTCGGTCTTTGGATTAGACCTCCTGGGTCTCTGTTTGCCTTGACAAGCACAATTTCCTGCCCATCCTTCCTATATATGTTGGGACTGGGGTGAGGGAAAAAGTGGCTATGTGTGTGAACCTGCTCAAGATCAAGATCTACAAGCACCATGGCGAAACGGCTTCAAAAAAGGATTAAAAAAATCAGAATCATCTTAAAGAACAAACATTTAGGGAGCAGAAGAGTTCTCATGTGATGTAAGTTTTCAGGCTGAAGGGTTTTTATGTGCATCATTCTTCTGTGTGACAGATGCCTTAGGGAAAGGGCTGTGTCTTGCCCCTGCTCTGGACATGGATACTGGCAAGAAAAACAAGGCATTTTTTGGCATCATGTGTGATTGGGAAAGGGACTGTGCAATGAATAAATTAAAGGCACACAAGTGAAGCTGGGTTGTCATGGCAACCAAATAGCTTCTATTGTTCCACAAGGAGTGTTATTACTTACTGCCCCGTGTAGGATAATTAATTAATCCTCAGGCATCCTTTCCGGAACAATGGCCCTGGTACTGGGGCTGGCCAGGCTGAGGAGAGCCCCCAGCTCTCCCATGCCTTTCCCTGAGACTCTTGGTATCTTTTGTCTGTGTGAAGTGCTGTCAGTGACTAGCCATTGCACAATTCAAAAAGTTGTTTTCCAAAGGAGTCCAGCTGGATGCGGTGCTGTGGAGGAATACAGCTCCTCTCATGATCTAAGGGGTACTCCTTGCTTTCACTCCTATGGGAACCGTATTACCAAAATGATGATGTGGTGACATTTCAGTCCTGAAGGATACAAAGCTCTCTGCAAAGGCAACACAGTTATGTCTCTATGCTGGAAGTTCCCAGACACTCTGATATACAGAATGCTTTGCAGCTGCATGTACATGCTCTGTGTTTCCAGGTGCCTTGCTATACCAAGGCAATGCATCTCTACCTCTTTGGGGGTCATGCCCAGATACTGTGCCATGGTACAGCTCGGAAGATGGAGTCTTGCTAGGGTGCAGGACATTCATAGATACAGTGCCAGCTTTGTAATGATCTCTCAATGAGGAGAGACCAAAACTACAGTCCTTATTTTTTAAAAAAAGGCACCTTCTTGTTAATTGCAGCTGCTGCCTGCTTGTGGTCAGCTGTATTTTCAAGCTCACTTGCTAGAGTAATGCTTCATTACTGTGTACTCCTCTTACCCCTGCTAAGCAACGCTGCACTGCAGCCTCTGTTCTTGTCAGTGATTAGAAGGATTATTTGCTGATCCGAGATCAGTGATATCAATTGAAATGCCGGGGAAAGGATGCCAGGGACCAGGCCAAACAGGTATTGGGGAGGGCACATTTGACTGGCAGAGCCTTTGGGAAGTGCTGATCCATGAAGATGAAAGGCCTAGCTGGAGTCTTTTCATATCCTGTATGAATTTGCAAGTTGGGGTTTTAAAGGCAGGCTGAAAGGAGAAACATCTTCATAATGATGTTCGGTGGCTCAGATGACCTGTGAAGAATGGAAGGATGGTATCTCTTATTTCTTCTTAAAGGAAATGGACTGGATAACTAATCCAGTAAATGCCATTTTGCTACAGGTGATTGAATTGCAGTAAGCATGGAAAAACATGCAGCTATTCATAGATGCTTGTTGGCGTACAGTGGTATTTGCAGTGCTATGTTCAGACCTCTTAGTATGGTACCCAAGTTATTGAGGAGTCTAGCAGTACTTCTGACCCAGGAAAATGAAGAGCACTGGCAGCATGGAGCTCAAGTCACTCTGCAGCTGAAGCAGCATGCAGGTTTCTGTCCTTGTTAGTACGTGGCCTGAATGCTGCCCAAAGTCACTGTCAGCTTGATGGTCTGGTCCAGCCAACCTACTTTGGTGGATCTAATTTTGATGGTATCCAGTACCAAAGGCTTCAGAAGGAGCTGGAAGTCTTCCCCCATTCCTGCATGTCCTTTGAACAGATAACTGAGGACTGGCCAGTTCAGAGTATATTGTACTTACTGCATGGTGGGACTAGAAGCTAATGCTTCCAACTGTAGCCTTCTCTCTCCCTAAGTAATCCTTAGGGACATATTTTTCTAGTACCAGTGAGTTCAGACTCCCTTCAAGCATTAATGAACTATTTCAATACAGAAAACATCCAGAAGTTTTGTATGCGTTTGAAATAGGAGATGGTTACCCTTCATAACGCTTCAATTTTCCTGCCCTGTGATCTGTGCAGTCCTAAACCTGCTTCCTTCTGTGTATCTGCACACCGTAGACAGCTCGAAGCATCCAGCCGTTATAGCTGTGATTTCTTTGTGGCTCCTATAATTTATTCATCCCGAGATGCTCTCCTACATCTGCAATAACATTGTTTCAGTTTGTTATAGCACTAGCTTTAAAGTTTTATAAACCTGATGACAAGTTGAAAAGTTACAAGAGGATTGCTGCAGAGGGCTAGTGTAAGAAACAAGGCTTCCAAACAGAACTGTTTGCAGGAATATATGTGTTAAAGGAACTATACCTGTAGGATTGACAATACTTTTTGCGGGGGCACAGTCTGCAGTGCAGATAGGTTAGAGGTTGGTGCAGGACGCTTAGCAAAGCTGATCTTAATGCTTCACTTCATTGTCTCCTCCTCCCTACTCCTGTATCACCTGTAGCCACACTGCTGCCTTGTTGGAGTGACTGCACTCACACTGTCGTACTGCATTGGATCTCTTCAGGCTTATGGAAGGAAGCATCACGTCTGCTACTTCCCAACTTCCTGAAGCTTGCTTGAAAAACAAGCTGTCTGGTTTGGCAAGGAAGTTTTCTCTGTTCATGAGAGATGTAAAGCATGTCCCAAGACAACAATGAGCTGCAAGGGTTTTAAGTTGACTTTAACCCAAACGAAAATGAATCAGGTTGTGTTTAAGAGTGTTCTTGACCAGGACAGTTCATCCTACAACCTGTTATGCCATCAGCAGTGGAGTATCACTTTTCTCACTATGTCAGATTTTCCATCTATTAGGCATATTTGAAATAGCC